AAAAAACAAATTTGAAGTTTCAAGACAGCAAAGACCTAAAAGAATCTAATGTTTCCCAATTATGAGTGTGTATGAATTTTAAATCTGATGAGGGCGCTGTTGTCTCGCAGAAACGTTATGAAATACACGATTAAAAATTTTTGTTTCGCACTTTAATGGAAACCCAGGAAGGAAAAGAGTATAATTCGCCCATATTAAATTTCAAAAGTTTTCTAGCAATAGTTTCTGAAATATTTGGCTGCTATTGGACCTTTGACTTGCATACAAGCTTTTAGAGAGAGATATTTTGAAACCTTAAATTTTAGCATTTTTAATGCTCCTATCGTTATTTCAATAGCGATGACCATAAAACGCCGACCAAGAGAAACAAAATTTTAGAAGCGCTTGATTTGAATTTTTTAAACCTGAAAATAGATGCCCCCTGCCTGAAGAAATAAAGGAAGAAAGGGAGAATAAATGTGACTGCAGCCGCCAAAATTGCATATAAAATTGTAAAAAAAGTCGTAGCTTTTCGGGTTTCTAGGCCGTCGCGCAAAACAGCTCTGACGATACAAGCCAGAAAAAAAATTTCAATGACCTAAAAGCCCGAGAAAAGCAACAGTTTCAAACAATGGCGGCGAAAGCCAAACTCTTTTCATAGAGTTGTGCAGTTTGGTTTTACCCAGGAAGCGAATACCAAGCGAACAGTTATTTTGTTTCGCTTTTCTTTGTTGCATTGTGCCACGTCGCACTGTTAGCTTCCGTGCTTCCCAGAGACAAATTTTATTTTGATTTTTTTCAGCCCAAAGCTACCTAGATGTTTCCCGTTTTTCATTTTGTATTCACCGTGAACTCTATCGCATCTCTTTCTATTACATGTGAGACGTCCTGAAAAATTCGCCCAGTATATCTAATCGAGTTCTATGGACAGTTTTCGGTGTGTACATTGATACAAAGCAAACAAATGTAACTGAAGAACTTAGACAATTGCTGGTAGCAATGCTTTTAGAGTGTTTATTGTAAGTGACCTCCCAGGATAGGAAGCTCTTAAGATGAATTGACACTCCCAATGATTCGGCTAATATTGACTTTGCCTCCGTCTTGTTGTTTTTGAACACCTTTCGGCTGTTGTGTCCGTGTATATGCAAATAACCATCTTTCTTTTGTTCGACTGGTCTATAGATCGATACGTGACAAACTTGTTTATTTTCATACATCATAGTTTGTTTCCATTATCGAAAAAATAATGTTTGACGACTGTGTCGAGTTTTTTAAAGCGCGTAACGTGAAATATACCTAACTTTGTTTTCGATTATCAATGCGTTTATTATTTCAAGATCTGTAGGTACTCACCGTATAAAAATAAAATGCAAAAAATATTTTGCTTCATAAAAGAACGCTTAACAGAATTATCGATTTACAGGGACCTGAAAAGTCTCAGGTATATTTTAGCACTTAGGGTTGTAGCCCATCCCGTTGCCGGGGTGTAAACTGGTTAATTTATTTGGCCTCCATTTTGTCGGGCCGTTGTAATTTGTAGGGTCTTCTAATTGGTTGTCATATGTTGTTTTTATCAAGCCTGTGCTTTTATTTTAAACTAACACATCATTCTGTTGAGTGGTTTCTTCGTATAGGCTGTAATTTCGGATGCCGATGCTTTTTAAAGATGTTCTCAGAGAAATCAGTACCGGTACTTATTTTGATCGGAGATAGGTACCACTCGAGTTGAGAAGAAAGCTTTTAGAAGCCGCCGTCATTTATGTATGTGATATAGAATGAATCGCATCTGATCTGAAATTTATGCATGTTTTATCAGCGAACAGCCACATTTTAATTTGTACCTAGTGTCTAGTTTGTAAGCAAACATTTCCACGTTTTTGTTGGGATTTTCAATTTTGCTTACATTGGAATTTTATCAAAATATGTTTCAGTTGCTGAGCACAATCGGTATGTTCATGGGGGGTCCAAGTTAAAAAGGGCTGAGGTGCTTATGTCGAGAACTCTCAGTGGTGTTTACAGGGGAAACATCTTACCGGTTCATATTAGTTGAAGTAGTTTAGCAGTTAAGAAAAACACCCCAAGCATCAAATAATCATTAAAACGACGCCCGAAGATATAAAATAAAATCTTAGCGGAGTTGAATAATCCATTGTAAACCTAATGTGATGTTTTCCGCCCCGTTGAGTAACAATAGCATTTGTAATTGTATTTATCGAACTGTGTGGAAATTAGTAAATAATTGTAGTCCTAAATACAGGCTTGCCTCAGTCGACATGCGATTGTAAACGTGCAGAACTCCTACTGGGAGTTAGTTACACTTTCGTGGTTAGTTTTCAATTTATTCAGTTTATTTAGCTCCCCCTATTGCAAAACACGTTCGAATCAACACCTATGGCTCATTGTCCTTTACTTTTTGCTATTTGTTACTTTCATACAAAAACTACTTTGAATAATTGTTCAACGAGCATCGCCTCTGGCCGTTCCACAGTTTACACCCGAACAGTTCGCAAAATATTTCGAAAATAATCAACACCTGTTCTTCATTCAAAAATCAATTTATTGAATATACATTTTAATTGCACTCCTTTAGATACAAATAAATATAATAAATGATCGGAATATACATTTTTCGTGGCATTGGTATTACCAATGCAAATTGTCTTTTCCCATTGAGTTTTAGGGGTGAGGTTTATATTATTAAGCGTTTATACGCTGTTTCACACCACCGTGCAGATCTGAATAATTCAATAACATCCTAAATAGGCAGCACTAACATCAAAAAGGCGCGCTCCACCTAAGCCAAATTTAAATTTTTTCAAATACAGACTTTGTAAAATCTCCCTCAACGCCGGAGGCATAAAATCAGCCCTTGAAGTTTCGTAAACTGTTTTACGTATTTTTCCAAAAAAAAACACCTCAAATGTTTTATGGCGCTTTACGCCCATTCCAGACTAACTAGGCTTTCAAAAAGAAAAGTCCAGCAAAGGACTCAATTCTAACTTTTCATCGACGAGTCGCGCAATCATTTTTGTAAATTATCAATTTCATGCTGCATATGCGTTAATTTACTTGCTATAAATCCCGTTTCTAGTTGAAGATTCGAAGAATGTGTAGATGAATAAAACCGCTATTGAAGGATATCCAGTTTCGATTAGAAAATATTATGTCTTGCCATTGAATCGATGAAACTATATAACAGCGCAACCTTTTAAGTAAATTCCCATAATGGAAGACCTTTGAAGCTTATCAGTTGAATCTCTGTATTTGCCAAATGTTGCCGCAAAATTATTTGTCATGATGTTATTATTGGGCATATATGAGGCAGGTGGTTAGATAGGCGAGGTGTTTTGAAAAGTCCTATGAAAAATATACATTTCACTTTCAACGTATCAAATATAGCTGCGCCCTATTGTGGCTCGAAATTTCGGTGTTTGTTAAAATAACATTCGTGAGATATTAGGATTTCAAAATTCAAATACACAAAAGCTACTTCAGTGAAGAGGGGGTATAATTTCATATTCAACTTTCGTAATTTAGTCACAAAACTTAAAGTGCATCCTTTGTATCAATATGGGGTCGTTCATCGTATCTACAGGAGGAAAATTGTTTTTAGTCTCATTTCCTTGTAAAAACCATGTAAAATTCACAACGCATGTTATATACGGTTCACGTGTCTGGAATATAAAATTCTCTTCCTGGGGAAATACACATTTCATACAAAATACATACGAGAAACTTTATGGAAAACGTTGACAAATAAAATTCCATTTGAAGCGTTTATGATATTGACAAGCAAGACGCGCGAAAGAAGGGAAAGCTGAACTGCGTAAGGAAAATCCAAGTGGCTTCACATAATTTTTGCTGAAATTGTGTGGAAAAACCCTTGCTATACGAACTGGTCTGTATAGTTTAGCTTATAATTTTCCAGGTAAATTTTCGCATATAAATTGTACCAGTCAGTTTTTCTGTGTTTGAATACATAAGCCGGTTTTAAGCCGATTATAATCTTAAGTTAAATTCATTCACAAAGCTCGTTCGGGACTCTATGGACGGACCTCTTTAGGTGGATTTAAAACCGCATAGGTACCATGGAGTTATGAACTAAACTGTGCCATATAGAACGCAAATAAATTTCGGGCAGTTCTAGTAAGTCCGTTAATTATCAGATTCAAGGTACTTAAGTCGAATGGTTATTTCTGCTGTTCCGATATGTTGGTAAGGCACTGCGAATACCTACACACAATCAAGAAACATAAATAAACAGTCTCTAATTAAGAATAACAACGTCACTGAGCAGGTGTTATAACGAAGCCCAATGGTACAAACAAAATAAAAATCTTCCTTACAATCGCATTATAAACATGGCTTTATATACACTTGTTGTTTTAAAACCATGGAGTGGTGTTAAGTAACCGAGTGGTTTTGATGAATTTTGCTTTAATTTCTTCGTATACCACATTGTTCTTTCTAGAAATTGTGTTTAGCAGTTTTCATCACTGTTTCGAACTTTTTAGCGCTAATTGTCTTCATGTCAAAGAGTGATGGCAGTATGAAGAACCAAGACAAATAAATCGGTGTTACATGGTAACAATCTTCTCTCAATCAAAAGCCGTTCAGAAAGCAACAAAGGCAGAATAAGCTGTCAATGTCAATCTGTTTGGATCGGTTCTTCTTTGAGAATATATCAATAGAAGATTCATTGTGGTTTGTTCGTTTTTAAAATAAAAAAATATTCGTTGGACAACAAGAAAACAAGTCAAGTCCAGTAATTATTCTTGCAGGTACCCATTGATTGACTCGAATATGTATTTGATAGAGGGTTCGCATTTTTAAAGCCGCTGGATTGATGTTTCGAAAATATTGTTGAATTGCTCTGATTAATCCGGATGATCCATAATATTACGCTGGGTGCAAGAGAAATGAGAGCAGGTTTTATTGAATCATACCTGTCAATTTGAACACCAAAATGCATAATCCCATTAATTGAACATACATGGGTTTATGTGTTTTGCATGATAATTTTAATATTGCAATATTGGACCCGAAATATAATTACCATTGTCTGCTGTGAACCAAATGAGCGCATATTAGTATTTTTACATATGTTGTTCTGGTATTTTATACATGCAGCATGCATGGATTAGTTTTATATATCCATTCCATTCTGCCTACTTGAATCGAAAATGTTATTTGTGAGCAATTTATTAGCTTAACAACCCGCAAATATCAGTCAATTCTCTATACATATAAAAAATATTTAATCATTCAGCCATAGTCATAATTATAGCCTACAAAGAGTACTTTAAAACGGTTGTGCAGGTAATTGGATTGAACATATTAATAACAACTCCATGTTAGAGTGGTTGGTCACTGCAATTAGTTGGTTTAATTCGCGTTAATTTCCAGTTTCCAAACCACTCACTTGTTAAAAACTGAGAGTAATGGTCCTTCATCATTTCTGTTGTGTAAGCCAATGTAAGAAACCATTCCTAGTTGGACAACAATAAACAAATCGTTCTCGTGTAATTATCAAAATCGCTTTCATCATTGTTCTCCCAACACTATTTTCCATCAAATCAACTTTATAAAAACAAATACCCATGTCCAAATAAACAATGGTCGTCATCTTGAACACCTAAGTTGCTTTCATTTGCTGAAAAATGCTTTGTCGGCGGCCACTTTCTGTAACAAAGCCCGGATCTTGTCAAAAATGTATACTTTTCAATAAGTGAACCTTAAAGGTGACTTGCAACTTTTTTTGTTCACCCTGCATATTTCAGCTTTCGGGTTTGTGTTATGAAGTCAGTCTATAATTGAGTCAATATATATATCCTCGATCATGTCCCGCATCAATTATCTTATCGCCCATGTCTGTATAATATGGAAAAAAAAATTAGATGAAAGTCTTTAGTTATTTATTGGAGTATTTTGTAGTTCTTTGCGACTAATACGTCAAGTTATAATTACAAAAAAATTCAGTTTAAATGCTAGAGAACTCTGTGAGTGTAGTCGATGCACCAATCATAGATGTTTCATTACCGACTTGATTGAGCGGCCGGCCGACTTGCAAAATAGTATCTACACATCCAACCATGTCAGTTAAAAGGCAAAATAAAACATCTAATAAGTCTGTTTAATGATATGTTAAATAATTTATTTGCTATTGTATGTACAAGTAAATATTTTACAAAGTTTATTACAGCTAAGTACTGAAGAGCAACTTACGATTGCTCATCCATTTGGAAGTAGGAAGGTAGGTAAGGATAAATGATTTTCTATACAGAAGTAACACCTGAATATACATATACACAAAAAAGAACGCTAAATAACAGCTGCCAATTTACATAATAGCTGTTAAATTAACGTGCTGCTGAGCTAAGGTGGTAGGAAAATGCATTTTTATAGCAACATTCAACTAGAAATACGACTCCTAAAGAAGTGCAGTGTCAGAGTAAATTTAATGCAATTTTCACCAATTTGAATTAAAAAATACATCTTTGGAAGGAGCGAAAAATGAGCCGGGAATGGAAATTTCTACAGCTAAATCTCCTTAAACCATTGCACTGCTGTAATTATAGAAGGGCTTGAATAAACGCGACTGTATTGTTAACAGTTTTTAACTGTTTCAAAGAGAATTTACTGCAATTCGTCGTCTCGGTCTACTAATAGTATGTAAAAGCCGTCGAGAATTGGATGGTTCTTAATTAACTAGATGTAACGCCAGAGACAGCCCATAACTAAACATGAAACATTACCCTTCAAAGAGATAATCATGAACAAGTAGTAAAAGACGTATCGAATACAGTTGGATTTGTTAACTATATCTATTTTTTACACTGAAGAGTCTGGACTCACGTTAAGCGTCGGATCTGGTGCAGTTGAAGACGCCGACGGCCTGGCTTGCAATAAAGCTTGGTAATAGTTCACGATGGGAAACCAGGATTTTGCATCCTTAGAGTCTTGCTGATCACTGGTCACTACATCGATGTCTTCTTCGGTGGTGTCTTCTTCAGAATCGGGAGCCAGAAGTGAGGCGACATCGAATTGTCGCTTTCTGGTAATTCTCTTCGACGAAGCCGACGGAAACACTGATGTGGAAGGTCCTGGAAGAACTGGTGGACTTACAGATAGAGGTGGAGGACTAGGAGAGTCTGCTCCGTCCTCATCAACCGCCAAACCCATGTGTTTTCGTACTTTTCTCTGTGCTTTGCGTCTTCGAAAGTCCCCTTTGCGGAAATCTTCAACGTTAGCGGGATGGATGGCCCAATAATGACCTTTTCCATTCGCACTTCGACCTGCTTTAATGAAGCAGTCGTTCAATGATAAATTGTGACGAATGGAGTTTTTCCAGCCGGGAGCTCGTGTTCGAAAATACGGATAATTATCCAGTATATGCTGATAGATATCCGACAAAACTAGTTTTCCTTCCGGAGAGCCTAAAATGGCCATTGCAATTAGGCCAATGTAGCTATGTTGAGGTTTAGGTTCTTCAGGTTGAAGCGCCCGGGGAAATAAAGGGTAGCAAGTTAGAGGCGATGGAAAAGGGTTCAACAGAGGGTACCTGAGTCTTTCTGCTACAGCGTACTGATATAAATGCAACCGGTAATGGTCTATGGGATGCAAAGCTCTCGGTCCGTTCGCATCTAACGTAAAAGGCAAAGGTAATCGAGGCGAAGTAGCGTTTGGCGAACTTTCGTTGCTGCACATTTCGTTTTTTTTCTTCAACTCACACACGAACTTTTTTCAAACACTAATCACTGGCACTGTTCAATTTCGTCTCAAAATATTAGCATCATTAATTATTCTCTCAGAAACGGGATTTCTATATACTGTTACTGTTCTACTAAAGGACCCATCTGGGTATCTGGATATCTAAACATGTAACAAACACTAACTATTTGTGGACCAATATTTGATAACAGTTGATAGGCGGAGAACGCGCCAACCAATCGTTATTTCCCTTTCCCTTCCGGCATCGCTAAGCTCCTCCTCGCCATCATGACGATCTTCCAACAGCCTGCTTTTAGTCCTTAAAAAAGGAAGGATAACTGGTGCCTGGAAAATCCTTACTATTTGTATGTCTCAAATCCACCGAATTTACATTTTATATTTGGTTTACACGTATAGTTAAGGAAGAAAAGATCGATTTTTGTACTTTTGTGTCTGAGATTGG